TGGGCTTGTCTAGTTCGTCTGACTGGTATTGCTAGTGAAGGGATGAAAGCAGAGATTTCCGAAGAACATTTGCCGTGGAAGTATCGATAGAAAAGTGAAAGGTCGCCGACCTTTCTACGGTGTTCCAATGATGTCAAAGAGTGAGTGAATGTGGCGTCACCCACCAGGCGGATGGCTCTTCTCTGGATGGAATCTAAGAGCATCAGCGTATGTTTTGGTGCTGAACCCCATATATGTGGGAACAGTATTCTAGAACAGGCCGTATCTGCGCTTTGTATATCATGAGGAGCTGTTGAGGAGTAAAGTAGCTTTTCGCACGGAACAAGAATCCGAGTTTTTGTGAAGCAGCTTTTGCGATGGATCTGACATGATTATCCCATTAAAGAGTGTTGCTGATGGAAATACCGAGCATAGACATGGTGGGCTTGGTGGGGATGGTGGTGCCAGACATTACAATGTCGGGCATACTGAGTTCCGCCTTTCTGGAGAAAATACAGGCTTGGTGTTTTGGTGGCGTTGAATTCAACTTCCCTAGGCTGTGATTTCAGCAAGGTCTTCATTCACAGCATTGACCTGCCTGCGCCGTGAGTTCTTAGTTTCCTGGGAAGAAATGGGAATTCTGGAAGAGAACGCAGTATGGAGGGTACTATCATCTGCAGAGCTGTGGATGGGGCAAGTTGTTACTCCCAACAGATCATTGATATGAAGAAGGAATAATGTTGGTGCCAAAATTGATCCTTGTGGAACGCCGGAATTGATGCCAATTGTATCAGACGATACACCGTCCATCACCACATGGAGCGATCTGCCTGAAAGAAAACTCGATAAGAGATGGCATAGCTGAGGTGGTAAGCCGTATGATGGTAGTTTGTGGAGGAGTTCTTCGTGTCAAACACGGTCAAATGCTTTCGATATGTCCAACGCGACAGTTTGAGATTCCCCGTGTTTTTGGAGCTTGCCATAAATGGGTGACGTAGGCAAGTAGATCTCCAGTAGATCTTCGGTGGCGAAAGCCGTATTGTCTATTTCAATTTGCCACATGTATAAAGGAAAACCGAATATACAGGGCGACCTACGTTTGAGTTAATATGACGTTGGTGAATTCAAAACTAAACTAAGTACGCAACGCTAATTTCTTCGCACCCCAAAATGTTGCCTCTGTCGAAATATGAATAACTTTTTTCTGCTTTGAACGATTCGAATTCGGATTACACTATTCGCTAGCCCAGTCCTTCAGCAATAATCTCGTAATTTTTTAAAACATTAGGTTCCTCACATAAAATCGCTACAGGGTGTTACCTGAAACTTTGCAAAATTTCGGAAATCTCAAAAGAATCCCAAATGAAGAAAAACTTGTTTTTTCAACTTAAGACAATAGATGCATGTAGATCATCTCATTATGTTGGGATAGTTCTCAAATTGTCTCTCTATCTCTTTTATTCACAGAGTGATCTCAAAAAATTAACTTTTTGGTTTTGCAGTCATAACTTTTTTCCTCGTCAACCGATTTCTTAAATCTCAGGCTCCTTTTGAACCTCAAACTTCAGATGAAGAGATATGAAGATCAGAATTGACTCAAGATGAACATTATACAGTGTGTCTCACTCCTATTCAGTGCTTTCGTAAAATGTGGTTGCCTTAAAAAAATACGCGTGATGTCATTTCTTCTTCACGAATCATTCTGAATGTATCAATCGACTTTGAGAAAATCACAAAATGAGAATAAAATCCGACGTTGAGCGTTCTTTAAAAAATTTATTCCTCTGATTTTCTTACGAATTTGTCGTACTACTTCAAGAGATGCACTGTATACAAACCCTACATATGTGTGATATATTATTGAATTCAGCTTACCCAGGAGATTCCAAGAAGTGAATAAAAAAAATGTCGCGAACGTCATAACTCAAACGTGGATCACCCTGTGAATCTACAGGGTGGATCTAAATAACACCGAAAAAATTCAAATGGTGCTTTCTCGTGATATTACTGATATTTCAGGAAACAAAGTTCACATGAACATGTGTCCTCTAACTTGCTTCCTTTTCGAGATACAGGGTTTTAATATTTCCATGGAAAATATTTTTTCTATTCATTTTTCGATTGCCTTCTCATCAATTTCAATAAAACGTTGTGGTTTTGTTGATAGTACTATGGATCTTCTTCTAGTGCAATTAGATTCGAAATAATATCCCCACAGTGGCGTCACAGTGGGTAAATTTATCGATATTCATGGTGAATGTCATTGTACACTACCGATTTTCTGAGTAACATATCATTTTTAGATTGAACTATTGAAATAATAACTTTTTTCTGCAATCGACACAAAAGTCGTCCATTTTGATACCAAAATTAGCTCTTAAATTAACGTTTCTATTACTGACACAAAAATAGGTATACACTACACTGTTTTACCACTAACCAAACCGATTTTTTAACGCCTCGACACGTGTTTCGCTAACTATGTTAGCATCCTCAGGAGAAGATTAAAACAAAATATCCTATTCTAGTGTGCTGCTTATATACTAGTACCTACCTAAAAGTTCCAGTCTTCGATATAAAAATAGGTATGTTGCTAGGCAACATATTTAGTTCCTAGGAGCTAAAGTTGAATTTTAGTTCCTATAGGAGCTAAAGTTGAACTTTAGCTCCTAGGAACTAAAAAAGGTCAACTGGAGGTCATCAAGAATAAACAACATTGTGACGGTTGGTTATTTGGGTTGAGACGCATACCTGATTTGTTTCCGATCTCAGCAGATTTGGCATTTCATACCCATGCTGGAGATATAAATACACCTTTAATATAGTTTAGTATTGGAATTATAAACATCTCAGTTAAGTATTTTTGTTTTGATCAGGGAAACCTTCAAGATTCAAATACATGCTTGATCTGTATTTCATTCGTTATTCTCGAGATGGATAACTTGTTTTTGAATAATCACGGCAAGCAATAGTTTTTTTGTCTCAAACAACGATATTGTTTAGCTTCATTTTGATCATCAAGTCAAACACAGTGTTGTATGGAGGGGAATAAATAATCAGTATTATTATTGTTGATATGCTCACTAACCTAACATTTTCCACGTCTTGTTCCTATAGCTCTCACTGGCACGGTATTTGCCATTAGAGCACCTGGTCCATACACAAATATGTCACTCTGTGGTTGTATTTATATTGAAACTACAATTCGAACATCCTAGAAAACCTAACCTAACCTGCTGTTAATACAGGTAGAATATTCTCACCACATGGATTATTTGTCAATATTTGTTGCATTGCATACATATGGCACGGCATTGGTGGTTACTTCACAATCATGTTCATTTAACTTAATTGTTTCGGTTGCGGAAAAAATAGCATGTTCCATTCGGATCGAAAGTGACTTTGTTCGACTCGCAAATTTTGCTTTCGCTCGGCCTCGCTAAACGCTCCGCCTCGCAAATGCAAAATTCGCTTGTCACACAAAGTGTCACTTTTGATCCTAATGAAACAATCTACTATTTTATCCTCTGTGTGATTTTTGTATCTAGCTAAGTTTGTGAGGAAACAATGAAAATTCGATTTGGTTCCAAATTTTAATGTTGGTGTTTTCAAGACTTCATTGGGATTACTCAATAGCCCAAATTGTAATCATTTTGAAATTTTGTGATTGTCTCAGTCTCCATCCATACTGAATGTTGGCACCATGAAAGCTTATACAGAGGGGTTATAAATAAAAACAATTAATACTTCCAACTTCAACATCCTGTATCTCAAAAACAACTTAAACCTATAACTAATTTCACTACATTGAAAATAGTTTTTTGCTCACTAATTCAATATCATATTTCTTATGGGATTCTACTATGGGGAAATTCTAGTGATGCCCAATGTATTTTCATATTACAAAAAAAAGGCTCTGAGAATTCTTGTTGGAATTGGTTACAGAGATTCGTGTCGTGATTCATTCATAAATCACAAAATAATGTCAGTACCTTCAATGTATATTTATACGAGTATAGTAGAGATTCACAAAAAAGCTCCCCTGCTTCCTAAGCAATCCAGTTTGCATAATCACAATACACGCAACAGTGATCTTATTAGAACTCAACGTTACAAACTCAGCAAATCACAAAAAAATTCTCATGATCTCAGATTATATAATGCTCTTCCTGCCAGTATTTAAACTATGAATATATTTTTTTTTCAAGAGAGTTATGAAAGATTATTTTGAAAAAAATTGCTTTTACTCGATTGCAGAATATCTTTCTCACGTTAATGGCCACAATTTTGATACAAGGAACACACTTGCCGAACATCCACTCTTGAGGGAAACGTAAATGTGTATTTTGTTTTTGTTTTTGATTGTATATTTTTCGTCTCTGATTGTATATTTTTTGTCTTTTATTGTAAATTATCATTTTTTACATTCTTTTCACCAAAATGGAATCATTTAGGACTTGCTACAAATGTATGAATGTACATCAAGTAGTCAATAAAACTCTACTCTACTCTACTCTATACTCATGTTCATATAAGAACTTTATTTGCTAGAATGTCACAAGGATACACCCCTTGAATTTTTTTTGATGTTATTCAGATACACCCTGTATATTCTTTATGAATTGAGATTTAAAATCCACGTGTTTCAGGAGGTTTCTCAGAAACGGATAGTTTGACTGAAAATGAATGTATTCAGTACCGAAAAGCACTGTATGTACAATGAGAAAATCCCCCTCTAATGAATGTTAACCATTATATTTCATATTTTTCATTCAGAGTTTAAATATAATTTTTTTTAACATACTACGTATAAACATTTGAGCAAATAGGTGGACGAAATAATAAATGTGTCCTGAAAACGCTCAGATTTTATCGAATTTTATGGCCAGAGGTGTTAATATGTCAGTATCACGTGGCCTTTTAGTGGAAATTTATAATACTGGGACAATTAATCACTATCAAAATATAATGTACCCTCTACTATCAAGTACCTTCACTTACTATAATAGTATAATGACAAAATGCAATAAGGTTGTCAATAAATAACAAAAGAATATGTTGTTCGTCAATGAACTTGGTGTTGAAACAAATAAACTATCACTTTTATGTTTACGATAGCAAGAAAATATTGATTTACATAAGGCATCTCAGGAATGGTTGTTAATAAGAAACCAAACATAAACATCAAACCACACTTTGATGGTCTGTATTAGGTATATTTATAATAGTCAAGTGGTCTGACAATGAATGTGCTAGTGATTCACAGGTACGTTTTACAGTTTTCACTAATTATAATCAATTTGTACAGGTGGTCCAAGACGAACAGATATCACGAAATTTCGATCCATTTTTTCATTATTTCAAATTCATCAAATTATTTTCACCTCAGTACAGTATAGGATCATCCATACCACTGAAAGACGTTCAAATAATTTCAAATGGAAACAGAATTCGGAAATATTTAAAATTGAAACATATTTGACCTCAAGTGTAGCAATCCACTATACTCATGATGTCAACCTGTCTATATTGGTAGAGGCCAGCCGCTATATATACAGAGTGTTTCACTTTAAACGCCCCTCCTCTCTATACAGTGTCATTCATAAAGTCGGCATCATATGGGAAAAACTTTTATTAATGACTTATTTTGGAATTCGAGTTGGACGTTGAGTTTTGCTTCAAAAAAGATGAAAAATGGCCTACTCAATCGGGGTCACGTGACTTTCGCTACATGTCAAAAGTGACATTTTTTCAAATTAATCGCTGAAAGTAGGCTTATTTGTTCGAATATCGAAAAAGTTTACTTGAAAAAGTTGTTTCAATCTTGATTTTACACATGCTTCTCGAATTTGATCTTTCTATTGCAACTTCTAGATTTTGATTTTTTTTTTAATTTTTCGAAATTTCTGTAATATTTGAAGAATTGTTAATTCCGCGAAACTACTTCATACCAGTTGCTTTTTCATGCTACTTACTTTCAATTACTTATTATCACTGATTCTGTTATATTTGATGCAAAGTTGATATATCGTCAAGCATTCAGAAACGAAATTCATTTGAACTGATCGTTTCTGTACTGAAAAAATAAATGTAAAGAATTCCGTTTCTAAATGCTTGACTCAAACATAACAGAATTTTGATGTTATGTTTGCATCACACATAACAGAATTTTGAAGCGGAGAATCGGAGATTATCATTTTCTGAAGAAAATCATATTTTTGTCGATAATTAGTGATAATTAGTAATTGAAAGTTAGTAGCATGATGAATATACTAGTATGAAGTAGTTTTATAGAATTCAATTTTTCAATATTACAGAAATTTCGAAAATTTGTAAAAAATATCGAAATCTAAAAAATGTAATAGAAGAGTCACATATGTAAAATTCAAATAGAAATAAATTTTCGAAGTATACTTTTTCGATATTCGAACAAATAAGCCTACTTTCAGCGATTAATTTGAAAAAATGTCACTTTTGACATGTAGCGATAGTCACGTGACGCTGATTGAGTAGGCCATTTTTCATCTTTTTCGAAGCGAAACTTAACGTCCAACTCGAATTTCAAAATAAGTCATTAATAAAAATTTTTTTCATATGATGCCGACTTTATGAATGACACTGTATATCAGCTATTAGTCGTGCGATTCGTACAAAATTTGGAGTGGTATAATTAACCATCCATATGATCAGATTTTCAGAGATGAACATCTTCTTGGACAGTGCCGCATTGTTATCGATTCAGAAATAGGTCGATTTTTCATGAAATCATATAAGGCATTTTTTGCAGGAAAACTAACGTCATATTATTGTTCTTCATGCTTTCCATAGTCACCTCATTCCGAAACAACAGGATTCATTTTCTGCCTCGAAAAAATAGTGAATTCTAATTAACGGCGAATCAATTTATGAACGTTCAACAGGTAGGTGAAACATCATGATTTGAAAGAAAAAACAAGATACGTACGTTCGTTTTTCCTGTGACGGGAAAGAAGTTTGCAATGTCATTTCTGTTGACAGGTTATGAAATGTCACTTTTATCTCCCACTTATCTAAACTGCTCAACACATGAAAAGTAAAGTCGCATTTTTTCGATCAAAAACAAGATTTTTTTCAATACTTGATGTCATAATTGTTGTTTGTGGACCACCCTGTATATAAGAATGGGTTGATCATGCATCATTTCAAGATTTTGACCACCGTTCGAACCAGATTGACAGGAACACAAAGCCAATAGAAATTAGAGCATTAACCCAGTAAACATGAGACATTTATGAAATATTTCAAGATTACCTAAAATGTTAATGATTGAAACATTTTTCAGGAACATTCCAGAGATATTTCAAAATCACTGTAACATTCCTGAAATATTTCAAAACAACTATAATTGATATATTCCGAAACATTTCGAAATTACTTGTGAAGTGAATGAATGAAACATTCCAAGATAACTTTGATTGTGAATAATTGAAACATATCATTTACTACCTATTCAGGAATGTTTCAATGCGTTCGAAATATGTTTGAAACGTTTCAAGGTACCTCAAACTATTGATATTTCGAAACATTTCAAATATACTCTCATTGCAAATTACTTCAATGTTTCAAGACAACTTGAATGGCTTGATTGAGGAATATTTCAAAATCACCTGAATTTTAAATGATTGGAACATTTCAATATGTCTCTCATTCTGAATGATGGAAACATTTTTCAGGAACATTCCAGGGATATTGCAAAATCACTGTAATATTCCTGAAATATTTCAAAACAACTGTAATTGATATATTCCAAAACATTTCGAAATTACTTGAGAAGTGAATGAATGAAACATTTCAAAATAACATTGATAGTGAATAATTGAAACATATCATTCACTACTTATTCAGGAATGTTTCAATGCGTTCGAAATATGTATGAAACGTTTCAAGGTACCTCAAACTATTGAGATTTTGAAACATTTCAAATATACTCTCATTGCGAATTACTTCAATGTTTCAAGACAACTTGAATTGCTTGATTGAGGAACATTTCAAAATCACCTGAATTTTTAATGATTGGAACATTTCAATATGACTCTCATTCTGAATGATGGAAACATTTTTCAGGAACATTCCAGGGATGTTGCAAAATCACTGTAATATTCCTGAAATATTTCAAAACAACTATAATTGATATATTCCAAAACATGTCGAAATTACTTGAGAAGTGAATGAATGAAACATTAAAAAAAAAATTGGTAGTGAATAATTGAAACATATCATTTACTACTTATTCAGGAATGTTTCAATGCGTTCGAAATATGTATGAAACGTTTCAAGGCACCTCAAACTATTGAGATTTTGAAACATTTCAAATATACTCTCATTGCGAATTACTTCAATGTTTCAAGACAACTTGAATTGCTTGGTTGAAGAACATTTCAAAATCACCTGAATTTTAAATGATTGGAACATTTCGATATGACTCTCATCCTGAATGATGGAAACATTTTTAAGGAACATTCCAGGAATATTTCAAAATCTTTGTACCATTTCTGAAACATTTCAAGACAACTTCAACTGATATATTCCGAAACATTTCAAAATTTCTTAGATAATTAATAAATTAAACGTTTCAAAATTTCTTCAATTGTGAATAATTGAAACATATCATTTTCTACTTATTCAGGAATGTTCCAATGCGTTCGGAATATGTTTGGAACATTTCAAGGTTCATCAAACTATAGAAATTTTGAAATATACTCTTATTGCGAATTACTGCAATATCAAAAGACAACTGAAATTGGTTGATTATGGAACATTTCAAAATCACCTTAATTTCAAATGGTTGGAACATTTCGATATTACTCTCATTCTGAATAATGGAAACATTCATCAGGAACATTCCAGGGATATTTCAATATCATTGCAACATTTCTGAAACATTTCAAGTTAACTTTAATTGATATATTCCGAAACATTCCAAAATTACTTGAATGATTAATTAATGAAACGTTTCAAAATCACTTCAATTGAAACATATCATTCAATACTGATTCAGGAATGTTCCAATGCGTTAGGAATATGTTTGAAAAATTCAAAGGCTCTTCAAATTATTGACATTTTGACACATTTATTAGGAATTACTTACCTACTACAATATTCCAAGACATGCAACTTGAATTGGTTAATTTAAGAATGTTTCAAAATATCCCGAATTTTAATAAATTAATTAGACTATTCTGACCAAGCATTTTATCATATTATGATGCAATTCAGCATTTCCCCTCTATAGCCGCCGCTTTCGTGGCTTCGGTAATCAATCGCGGGTTCCCGTCTTCGGCTCTAAGCGTTCGCGCATGCGCATTCAGTTTCCTTCTCCTTGGTGAAAGGCTTCGCAGTTTTCGCTTTCCGACTGTTGACTCAAGCCAAGCAAAGCAAAAGACATCTAATATCTTATAATAGTGATGAAATATAATTATTTCACTCAATTCAAACACATTTTTGAGTGTTTACTATTTAATCGTACCGGTAGACCTCTCAGGTGATTTAGGCCATGTGAAGTAACATCAAAACTTGCAACCAAACAAACAACACAAGCGACTCCATTTTTTTTATCATCACCTGGTGTGGCTGGACTTTGAAATGTATTCCACGGCTTCATGGACAAGGCCGAGGTACGTATAAATATAGAAAAACCATAATTCCAGATGAAATATCAAATATTATTAGATATCATGATGGGTATATTCATAATGATACTTTTTGTTCTAGGATGGAGTGTGAAAATGTCATCATGACTTAGAAGCTGCAGAAGAATAGTGCTTTCAATTGCGATGTAACCGAAGAAAAATATTGAAGCACTCAACATGTGAATAACGATGTTAAATTACTTGATATATATGTACATACCTAATACGTCGTGATTATGTGAAATATCTGATGATACTTTTTTAACTGCTTTTTTCACATATCATTATATAAGCAATATAATCCATTTTTTTATGTCTCTTCTATCTTTCATTTCACCAGCTATATGAATATATTCCAGCGATATTGGTAGGTATTTTTCATTCTGAAACATTCAATGGGAATGTTTCATAAACAGTAATATTGTTGAATGAAAAACATTCATGAAATGTTTCATGAAACATTCCCGAAAGTTCTACAATGAATGTTCCCAGGATGTTTCTATATATATGTATTTGAAACATTATCTATGAAACATCTCTGGTGGCGAAAATTTATCGTTTCAAAAATATTTATGGAATGTACCAAGAAACATTCCTT